GTCAATCTCCCCTTTAAAGTCCACCAAGAAATTTTTTATATATTTAGGTGCTCCTATATTGGGTACATAAATGTTTATAAGGGTTATTTTCTCCTGTTGGATTGACCCTTTTAGTATTATGTAGTGACTATGTTTTTGTCTCTTGTTATGGTCTTTATTTTGAAGTCTATTTTGTCAGAAATAAGTATTGCTACTCCAGCTTTTTTTCCCTTTCCATTTGCATGGAATTTAGCCATTGTTTTTAAAAAATAAGGTTTCTGTCTCTTTTTCCCTTTCTTTTCCCAAAATGCAGATATTGTTTCTTTTGATTGTGTCCTACAGTTCATGTAGGCTTTCTTTACTATTTTTCATTCTAATTTCTTTATTTTCTTTTGACTGGATGATATCAAGATATCCTTCTTCATGCTCACAGATTATTTCTGCTGCCTTATTGAGCCTATTTTTGAAGCTACCTATTGCATATCTCATTTCATTTATTGTAATCTTCATCTCCTGAATTTCTGTTTGAGTCTTTTTTATGATTTCTATTTCTTAGTTGAATTGTTCATTTTGTTCATGTATTGTTTTCCTTAGTTCATTGATTTGTCTATCTGGGTTCTCTTGAATCTTGCTGAGCTTTCTTAAAATCATTATTTCAAATTCTTTTTTAGATAACACACAGATCTCCATTTCTTTGGGGACAGTTACTGGAGTATTATTTTGTTCCTTTGGTGCTGTCATATTTTCTTGCTTTTTCATGTTTCTGAGGGGTTTTCATTGGTCTGTACATTTGAAGTTCAGTCACTTCTTTCAGCCTTTTTGTAATGGCTTCAGTAGTGAATGACTTTGTCCTGGAGATGGTTCTAAGGACACTGGTTGGATGAAATGCAACATCTTTGTTTCCTAGAAAGGAAGTGTGGTGCAGCCTCTGTGCCACTTAATTGACTGAGGTTGCGATTTCCCTGACTGTGGGGTATTCTGTGGACAAGGCTGCAGAGGAACTGCAGGTGTTAGTGGCAAGTAAGGCTATGAAGATCTCCAGAGGCTAGCTAAGACTGCTGGTGTCTTCCTTTCCTCCCCATCCCCTGTTTTTTGTTTGTTTGTTTGTTTGTTTTGTTTTGTTTAACTTTGGCCATGGGTAAAAGTTCTAGCTAAGAGGATCCCTTTTAATGCTTGGTATGGCATGCTGACACTCAGAGCCCTCAGAGAAGTATTGGAGCCTGTGTTCTAGAATCAGGCACATCTGGAGGTACCATAGCACTGGAGTCCTGAGGCACAGGTGCACTTGTGGCTTTTGGGCATTTGTAGATATCCCATGGAACAAGTATCTTGGTCTCAGTGGTTCCCCACTTTAACTCTGACTGGGTGCATTCAGAAGTTGCACAGGCCCTGGGGTGACCATGTGCCTGGTTGCTTGGGCCCTGGGGCCAGGGTGCTGTAGTAGCACAGTCTGGGGATGGTGGGTTATAATTTTAACTCTGGCCCAGCTGGGCGTGGCTCAGCGGTTGAGCATCGACACTAGGATCTGGTAGATTGGGGTTCGATTCCCGGTCAGGGCACATGCCCGGGTTGTGGGCTAGGCAGCCGATCAATGACTCTCTCATCATTGATGTTTCTATCTCTCTCCCTCTCATTTCCTCTCTCTGAAATCAATAAAGATATGTTTTAAAAAATTTTTTTTTGAACTCTGGAAATAGGTCCCAAATTCAGTTAGTGGCTGAGCCAATACTAAAACTGTTTAGTTGACCCTAGTCCTGTGAACTCACCACTATTCCATCTTTAAGACTAGAAAAATGCTTAAATCCGCCTAACCTACAGATAATGTATTAGTAACATAATTTTTATGTTTTAATAATAGATTATTAATACAATATTTAATTAAACCAATAATGACAGATATAAGGCAAAACAGGCATGACAATTGTATCAATCTTATGAATTTAATAAGCATGTGGCTTTGAAAAATTCCTTTCTCTCATTTGTGTCTTAGGTGCTCCATCTGTAAAATGAAGGGAAAGAATTATATGATCTCTAAGGTCCTCTATAATCCTGACATACCATTCTTCTTTATTGTTCCCCTGAACTACTTTGGATTGGCAAAAACTGCAGAATCTTCAGCTTGTTTCAGTTCAGTTATTGAAGAAGAGATCTTATTTGGGTTATAGATTTAACCACCACCCAGTTCCCCATGTAATAATTTGGTGAACATTAGAAAAAAATTGTTCATCAATCAAGTGCAAAATCATAAAGAAATCTATTTAGATTTGTTTTTGAGTGATATTTATTATTGATTTTTCACTTAAAAGTTTAAAAGTTATTAGTGAAGTATGCTGCTAACATATCAACACAGAGTCAGCAAGGGATAGAAATGCATTTTCAAAGAAGTTAGTATTTCAGTAAGAAAGGGAACACAGTGTTTTGGCCTTATATTCAGGAATTCTGGATATAAATTTTAGTTTTCCCATTAACACTCAGGGTGATTAAAAGGTTATGGTCAGGGGCTTTCAAATTCCCATCAATAAATCCACCTTGAGTAGATAATCTCTGAAGCCCTTTATAGTTCGTCCATGACCCGACGAGGATTCTCCTTTCTACCTCTTTCCAGTAATCCAAGAAGTGTTTTTTATTCAATTCATAGACTTATTTCGGAGAATTCAAATTAGGCTAACCAGGGTGAAGATTCTCCACAGTGAGAGATAAGGAATAATCAGAAAGAGTTTTGCACAAAATCATTTGAGCTCCAACAGTCTCTCTTCCCACAGCTTATGTAATGTGGGTTCAAAATATTGGTGGATTGAGCCAACTATAGGCTATCACCTGAAAGGGTATCTGTATTTATCTCTTCAGCATATCGATGTCAGTTAGTTCTTCACTACAATTCGCCTTCTTTCTCCCCCCTTCCCAATGAATATCATTTCTAGCACTCTGTCCACTAAACCAGCCAATCATTTCTACTCTTCACTGGCTTTCAATGCCTCTCTGGCCAAAGCTTCTTTTATGGCTTTCGGCTGATGGGGTTGCCAATACTTTGTTACTATTTACATTTGAATAATGCATTAAAGTACATAAACTACTATCTTAAAAAAAATTGTGAATACTTCTAGATATTAAGCATTAAGATTGGAAATTTTAATATATTATTTAATAATAATACAACATACCTATGAAGTTATTTTAATTTTAAAGATGAGAAAACTGTTACTAGAGGTGCTTTATGACTTGGTTAATGTCACACAACTAATAAATTCAATTGCAAGTCTCCAGAATCTTTTAAAAAATATATTTTTTATTGGTTTCAAAGAAAGGAAGAGAGAGAGAGATAGAAACATCAGTGATGAGAGAGAGTCATTGATTGACTCACTCCTACATGCCCCCAGCTGGGGATCAGCTCAGAACCTGGGCATGTGCCCTGACAGGGAATTGAGCTGCAATCTCCTGGATCATATGTCGATACTCAACCACTGAGCCACGCTGGGTGTGCTGTCTCTAGAATCTTTAAGCCTAGTTCCCCTTTCCTTCCATGTGTATCTGTTTTATCATTTGATTATCACAGAAACCCTGTAAGCAGGGAAATATCACTTATGTTGTTTTTACCTTTTTTCCTTGCTCTATCACAGCATGTAGAATAGTAATGGGCACATAGTTGATGCTTAATAAAGATGCATTGAATGATCAAGTTAATTTAATTAAGTTTATGAGTTAAGGGAAAAAACTGGGGGTTCAAAATGAATTTTCTGAGATTATTAGCTAGAGAATGGCAGTTTAGAGTGAGAACTTTTCAATTCATATGTTTCTTCTATTCTGTATATCTTTCTCAATGTCTTTTTCAGAACAGGAACCTTTCTCACTACTAGGGATAAATATTGGTGGGGATACATATTGACTGTTTTTTAAGACTCCTTAATTGTTATCCTGTGTCTTTTATAGCTCTGATTAACTGGATGCTAGGAATAGTTATTATATATCTATTAATTGCCACCTTCTGGGTCCACTGTAAGAATGGGGAAAACAAACCTATGGAGTACAGTACTGTAACTTACTTAAGGGTCTACTCGAAATCACAAATACAGCTGGCACTAGGACCCAGGATTCCTGATTTCTAGTTTATTACTTAATTTCACACCATGCTTCTTGACCCTTGGCAATAGCCATTTCTTTCATAATATTTCTCTTTTCCCTGAGCTACTTAGGGCATTTCTTTATTGCTCATCCTGTCAAACCACACTAAATTCAGAAATGGAAAGTATCAGTCACAGCCTGGGCCTGATTAGGTTGTTAGTAAAGTGCCTAGTGCTTTGAAAGGCTTATAAAATTCATCCAAGCTAGAGAAGTAAGATAGCTGTGCATCACTAGGAAATTTTGATTTTAGTCATATCTCTGCCTCTCACTAGCAATACGTCTGTGGGCAAATTTGGTGTCCTTTCTGAGCTTATTTCCTTATATATAAAATGAGAGAGTGTAGGAAATCTCTTAAGAGTCCTGATAGCTTTAACATTTAATGTCTTACTATTGCTTTGTTGCCCTATTTCCACAGGGCAGGAGGTAGATAGACTGCATGCAATTCAAGTTTGTCATGCTCTGTTGTTCTGTGAACCTATGTTTCGCTAGGCTAGAAGAAGGCTAAGTTCTTAGTAACAAAGTTTTCCTTGTTTTATTTTGAGGCCCTTTCATTCATGCAACAAAATTTGCTGAATCAACTTTATGCCAGGTGCTATTTCTGGAGACATTCTCTCCAGGATTTCTCCTTGTGTTTCTCCACTGCTGGGTTCGGGTTGGATCATTTGTTTGGTAAAGCTCATGCCGAAGCTGAAGTAAGAGCTCAAGTATAGTGACCACTGTCTTCCCCCTACACAGGTAATCATTGCAACAAATAAGAAGTGTTGCTGGTTTGGTTAAGATACAGGACTATTTAATTAACCCAGTCTATTGATTGAAATCTTCTTGAATTAAAGTGTTTAGGCATGTAATTGTTTCCTATTAAGAACTATTATTTTCTGTTTCTTTTTCTTCTACTGCCCCAGACTCTCTCCCAAGCATGCCCCAGATATTCCTGATGACAGCACTGAAAACATCACTATCTTCACCAGAATCTTAGATCGTCTCCTGGATGGCTATGACAACCGGCTGCGACCTGGGCTTGGAGGTGAGTAACTATTTTAAGATCTTATGCTTCGCTATTTTCATCTAAAAAGATTCTTAAAGTGTCCTCAGTAGTCTATTGATGAATGAGGTTAATATAAGCTGTTTCTTCTGTCTGAGCACTGGAAATTATTTGTTGTCTTTTATTTCAATGGTCAATCTCTGGTGTCGTTTTGAAAGTTTATGAATTTCACTTAGGTAAATGCATATGGGGTATTATACCACAGTGGCCAAGCCCATTTCTGGTAATGAAATACCAGTCTCTGGCTGGATAGCAGGTGTGGCCCGGGAACAGCTGGGAAATATATCTTCATTCTCAAAGCCTTGAGCACATATCAGAATGACATTCTAAAGTGGAGCAATCTGCTGGCTAGGTTGGATCTCAGTTGGTTATCAGTTTAATATGATCAGCAATATGATCCCAACAAGATAAATGCATTATAATACATCATGGCTGTATTTAAAGGGCAAGTATGCAAATGTATGCATGTTTAAATTTTTTCCTGAATCACTTGAGAATTAGTAGCAGATATCATACCCCTTTGTCCCTAAACACTTCAGTGTGTACTTCATTAGAACAAAAGTTATTTTATAAAATTGTGATGCAATTATAAATTCAGATATAAACTATTTTTGAATCTGTAGTCCATATTCGATTTTTGTGAATCATCTCCAAAGGGTTCCTTATAACAGTTTTCTTTGATGGAGAAGATTCAATCCAGAATTATGCACTGCATTTATTTTCACATCTCTACCCTATAATCTGGTACAGTTACTCAGTCTTTCTTTGTGTTTTATGACATTGATTAGCTTTTCCATACTCTTTTTTTTTTTTTGGAAGAAATGCAAGAAAGGTGAAAAACTAAGAGGGTGAAGGGATCTCTTACCTTTCAGCAAAACTTGCCCAAAATTTAGCCTCAGCAATAGGTAGCTAGCTTTCTCCAGAATGAGAAATGCTAGCATCCTGCCCTTCTTGGAAAGATCCTTCCAACTGGGACCTGGGAAAAGAGAGAGTCATGTGTTCTTTCTTGGCTGCACCAGTCTGGAACAGAATTTCTGTCTCACTGAGCTGGGAAAGAGGAGAGTGGAAGCAGGCCTTGTTTTAAATATCTAGATCCTTGATTGCCTTACTGAGTTTTAGTAGATTTTCTGGAATAAATAGTTGTTTTTCTTTTGTTTTATACCTTTGAAGCCATTTCTAAACACTTTAAATGGTTGTTTTAAAAATACATTTCACCAGTTTCACTGAAGAGATGGTTTGCAGAGCTCATCATGCTTTCATGCCAAAAGTGGAAATTCTAATAATTTTTTTAGATTTAATCAGAATATATACATAGATGATTGCATTATATGATAAGAATGACAGTATTAATTCTTCCTGTGCAATTTTTTCTTGTCTTATTGTACTAACTAGACCTCACATATAATGTTGAATAGTTAGTGTGAAAGCAGATGCCATTGTCTTGTTCTTGATCTTAGGGAGAAAGGTTCCAGTTTTTCACCAGAAAATATGTTAGGTGTAAGTTTTTCTGAGATATGCTTTATCGAGTTCAGGAAGTTCTACTCCTACTTTGTTGAAAGTTTTTAACAGGAATGAATGTTGGAATTCTTCAAATGCTCCTGCTGTGTCTATTGAGTGGATTATGTGGCTTTTCTTTTATAGTTTGCTAATATGGTGAAAAGCATTATTTGATGTTCTTTTTTTTGTTACTAATCCAGTATTGTATTACTTTTAATGTTAAATATAAAGTGCTTTTGCATAACCATAAAGTTATTTTTAGTTGATGTATCTTTACATACTGTGAGCAAGCATATACTAAACTACTGTGAAAACTTAGCATAAATCTTAACACTATTAAACAGATAGATAATTTTCAGTGATAAGCTATAATATACCATCTTCCTAAGGTATGTGACTTTCAACATGTCTTCTAATCTACTCTATTTATTTTTTAATTTTTCAATGTTTAATTACATTGACATATAATATATTAGTTTCAGGTACACTACAGAGTAGTTAGACATTATATATATTATGAAGTGATCACCCTAATAAGCCTGGTACCCATCTGACACTATATATAGTTATTACAATATTATTGACTATATTCCTAGTGGTGTACTTTACATCTCCATGGCTGTTTTTTATAACTGGCAATTTGTACAATGTAATCCCAGGCATATTTTTCACCCATCTCCCATCCAGTGACCATCAAATTGTTCTTTATATTGGAGTTTGTTTTATTTTTTGAATTATTTTGTTTTTGGATCCCACATACAAGTGAAATTCCATGGTATTTGTCTTTCTCTGTCTGACTTATTTCACTTAGCATAAAACCCGCAGGGTACATTTATGCTGTTGCAAATGGCAAGATTTCATTCTTTTTTTTGTGGCAGAATAATACTCCATTGTATATATGTACCACACCTTTTTTGTTATTTTTTAAAATTTATTTTATAGTTGAAAGTATTATATATG